CTTTTCAAAATACACTGAATCACGTGAAAGAGCAGATTATTTACGGATGAGAAGTAAAAAAGAGCCGCCAGGTGCTAAAAAATAAACCTTAGACTCAAACGTTAGAACAGGCTTTTCCCCACAGAACACCGTGTAATAAATACTCACAAAGAAAACGGCGGCCGTTATAACTTATGTCTAAAAATGTGTAGTGTCATGCATCTGTTAAAACACTCGACTCCAGCTACATGACGCGCAGCTGGAAACACTTCCCGCAAGTCGAGCTGCCCGAGATTCACAGAATTTACAGAAAATGTTACATTTGTGTGATTTATATTGTTATCGGGACGAAAGAATTCTTATATCGGGATATGAGATTTTGGTCATATCGCACAGCCCTAAAACCAAATACCTCATTCTATTTCATTAATGTCCAACACCAGTAAACCTTTGGGTCATAGATGCAGCCCCCTGCCACTAGCACTAAAAAAATGTAAAGGATGGACATTTAGTAACAGTGACATCACCTGTTTGCTTCAGAAGTCCTACTTGAAACTTCAACATGAGCATTTCATACTCGCCATCCTGCTTGCATAAAAATCAGATGTAAGGTGTGGCTCCGACTATGAAACTGCACTTGAGACTGATAAGTTGTTAGCTAATGAGCAGTTTGATACAACAGATCAATAAATCAATCAATAAATAAAATAAAAAAATGCTTTTCATTTCTAATTTCAGTTATAAAACAAAGTTCAAAGAATGGGAATGGGACCTATGGGAATTGTTGCCAACTGTTTTGTACATATTCCCAATATTCCCAAAATAATACCAATTTTTAATCACTGAGACCATCATTCCAATCAGGGGCAGAGACTGATGCAGTGATATAGACATTATCAAGCGCCACCTTCCAACCAACGAAGCCTTCATGAACAGCAACAGCATCACTGCCAGCAACTGACCATGTCTCTATGTTATCAACCTTTTGTCCACATTTTTTCTTGCACAAATGACCAGCTTCTCATTATATTCTGACAAAATGACACCAAGTCTAAAGAAATAAAGATTATTAAATGCATGCACTATCAATGTAAGTTACCGAATACCAAAGGAATAATTCTAAAATGACCTAAAATGTTTAAATCGCTTCACAGGATACAGACAATCCTCAGCTTACATGCACTACCAGTAAAATATGATGTAAACTAGTATCTTTAGAGACATCAAAAATAGAAAGGATCAAAGGATCAACAAGATGTGTGTGCAGGTGAAAGAGAATGAAAAGCTGAGACGGGCAGAGCTTGAGAAATTGGAGATTCCAACTCACTCTCGCCCATTTTCACCTCCCATTATCTGATTAGCCTCCCATTTCTTCCCCATCAGTGCAGTGACCTGGATTTCAGTAGGATAGTGATGGTCAGCCAGGGCGGGGTCTGGTGAGAGGGGGCAAACCATTTGGGGGTGGTGGAACCATAAATCAGCACCAGCGGGAGAGAAGAGTGAGGGGGATTTATATAGATGTTGTGCTTGGCCAGCCCACTTGTGGACACCGTGATGAATTCACAAGCACATTGCCAAGGCAAACTACTTCATTATACTATGGCCCAGTGGTCATTAATCTCCCTAGGAGGCCAGCATCCTGGGGGATCGCCAGACCAGAGAATTTATTCAGGCCTGGAGGTACCCATTTCATTAGCCATTCAATCTGTTCAACCACCAACCCCTCCCCTTCATTCCCGTATCTGTCTCTACTTTCCATCACTGTAGTTAATAATATTTAAGTGGTTGTTCTTACAGAGTGTTATCTTTATTATTATGAAAAATGCTCATTTTACCAACATTTACCAAAATTCTCACTGTATTAGCAGCTTTCAATTGTCTGGAGGGGGTTGGGGGGGTCAATAAGCATGGGCATCGGTTAATTGTATGGCATGTTTATCACTGTACAAAACTGTGTTTCTTCCATTTGTTCTGTGATTACTGCAGCGAGCAAAGGAAAAAAAGGAAAAAGTTGCATTTCTGTTGCTGCTGTTACACCAGTGCTGCAAATAGAGGTGTAAACCCTCCAGTAAATGTCACGATTAGGTACGGCAGGATGGAAACAGAGAATAGATTCCCAGAGGTAAACTCTCAACTGCTTACTTCAGTCCTGTAACCTAATGGTGTCATTACTGGAGGGCAAGTGCTACTGGCCCAACATGCATGGAGGGCCACCATGCAATGATTACTTATTTATGTTGGGACTCCTTATTCCACAAATACATAGAGAAAACAAATATGATGTCCCCTCTGTCAATTACAGTGATCACGCATATGTGCCTGGATGAAGACACACAGCACACATGCTTAAAGATCAATCGGAGCTCACTGTGACATAGCAAATATTGGAAGATACTGATATTTATCTTCTGAGGAGACTTTTCTAAAGAATGAAAATCAGTTGTAAAGCCTAAATGTGTAACTGCCAACTGGTTACAGTCTATCAAATTATTATTATTATTATTGTTATTATTTATGTTTGATAGACATATACAGTCTCAGGAAACCTACACTGTTCATAGATCACAGGGAATTCCTCCCATGTTGCGAGTTCTGTAATATCACCATGTCAGCCCTGAACACTCCTATGATCTGACCTTGCGTCTGAAATGGAAGGAAGTCTTCATTTTCCATCTCCCGATGTTTCTATGTTTCTCTCTCCCTGAAGGGTTTAACCATATATATGTGGAATAATTTCATCAACCATGCTACGTCCCGACGGACCCTTTCCACTTTAAACACTTAACGGGCTAAATAAATAATGATGGCTTACACACTGTGTGTGTGTGTTAACGTTAACGGCACCAGCCACTAGCCCCGGGTCCCACAGCAGCAGGAGTCCTTAAAGCGAATAATTTGCTTCCGTTCAGGCCGCCACACTGTAGCCATTCGCCAAGCAGATTATGGGCCTTTAAGTAGCAGCCAGGCCTGAAATGTGACTCTAGGGCCCACAAGCTGTCAGAGAGGAGGCAAGACTCCTTGGAGAGAAACTGTAGGATAGGGACAGAGAGCGATGGAGACTGACAGTTAGGGGAAAAGATAAATCTATAAATATGAATGCAAGAGAAAGACTGAAGGGGAGTTGATGTGGTGTGAAATAAAACAAAAGAGCAATCTCATTATCTAGTGTGTTTGATGAAGCAGGTACAGAAGGGTAAGAAAAAATAATCAATACTGGTTACTCACAAAGCTAATAATTTGGATAACAGATTTAATGGAAGCAAGACATCTGTGTTTCAACACTGGGTTAAGCAGTAATGCATTAAACTGTTCAAAATAATAAAAGGCTGAATCTGCTGATAATGAAGCAAAAATAGCCTCAATGTCACTTGTGAAGTGACAGTGATTGTTTCAAACACATGTTTTATCTCATACTTTTTTTTGGCAACTCTGATCAGAATCTGCTGTGGAGGAATGACAGAGAATGAGGTTTTGATAACCTAGATTAAAAGTTAACAGTTTTTGAATTTGACCAAACTACAGTCAGCATCTGTTTCCAGCACAATGGTCCATGGATCTCCTTCCTCATTCCGTTCGTTATGTGGCAATGATAACATACAGACTGTTACGAACTTAAAGTTTAGACAATGTATCTCTATACACACACTTGAGACAAAGTGTGTACTGATTACCACCGAATATTTGTGACAATAAATTTTAAGTATGTCACTGGAAAGATTTGGTATACATAGGTAGTATCAATAAGAAATGGGTGCCTGAAAGTCCAAATTAAGAATTGCCCATCACCTGACATCAAAAATGTCACACATTCTCCAAACATCTCCATAATTTCAAAATATTTTTTAAAGAAACACAATAGAAAGAAAACATAATTTTGCAGAACCAGTCTATTAAGACAGCAGTTTCTATCCTGCTAAGGCGAGGGGCTTACAGTTACAATAACCCAATTAAGATATCAGATTTTAATTCAAACCGTTCAAAAAATCAATTGAATCTTTCCGTAAACCTTTTCCTCTGGTTTTCTTTGTAATCTCAGCACGTTTTGATTTAACCGCACATTTCACTCCAAACTCCGAGCTCCAGTAAAACCCTGGAGAAAGCTAGACACCATCAGTTGATCTATCGTGCCATCTCCACGCCGAGGAGAGGACTGAAACATCAAATCCACCACCCTCGAAATGACATCTGAACATCAATACATGGTCCCCGCCCCTCCGATGTGACAGTAAAAGCCGTATTGATTTCCGCCCGGATTAAGGATTCTTCTGGGAGCAATTTAAACATACAAGCTGAAGTCTCCGGGCCAGTGGTGAGTGATGTCTTTCACCATGTATAATCAAATTGAAGGCCTGCATTTTGGAGGAGTGGTTGTCCAGATCAGTAAAATTGAAAGAGATGGAATAAGATATCTAAACCAAAAAGAGAACCGATAAGAGTGGATAAATAGATTACGAAGACTAAAAACAAACAAAGCAAACTCCAGTGGCTCCCTTTTCTCCCTGTTCAGTATCTACAGTCTGCTGAGGTCTACCTAATGCTAAAGCTAGCAAGCTTGGTTCAAACACCTGACACTGTAGCCAGCAATTAGCTGAGTTTTATTGGTGAGGCACCATTGTAAATAGCTCCATTAATAGCAGTGGATGTAAATTTTAAAACAGGGGGATGTTTTATGACGAATAAATTTGCGACCTACTGTTGCTGTCACCGCCACTTTTCACTCCTCCCACGCAAATGGCAAATGTCGCACATGCGCTGAAGTGTTACCCCAACAGGAACCTTTGACTGCAGGGCCTAAACTCAGTGGAAGAAAGCATTAGTCCTCGGCGTAATTTTTCACATAATTTCAGTAACAACAACAACAACATAAACAACAAAAGATAGAAAAACTCAGGTTGCATAATTGCCCCATTGGTGAATAACTATAGTGAATAAAGTTCAGCATTTTTATGGTATGCTAGGATTACCTATCATTGAAGCTGAATTTCTGCTGTAAAATAGCGAACAAACGTTTGGTTTTAGTCCTGCAGGCATCTACAAATGAAGGGATTTCACTGGGAAACATAATATTTCAAGATATGTGTTTTTATATTCATATCCATATGTCTTTTATGTTTTAAGAAGATTTGAAGCAATTCCAAAAGGTTATAAATCACATAGTGGCAGCTCATATCAGTAAAAAGTTGTTTTTTTTACATACTCATACATTATACTCCAATCAGCATGTCTCTTTCTGCCTTTGAGGTTATTACGAGCAACTTTATCATCATTCATGACCCTGTTATTTACACAAGCAAGACAGATGCACAGAGGCACCTACAGATGTGAAGCAAATACTTGCGCACGTACACATCCATTCACTTCATCCAGATTTTCCTTCCCCCAGCTGCGCAGCAGTGCTGAGGCCATGTATCCTGATGGCACTGATGGTGCTTCATGCTGCCCTCAGGTCTCTGAAGGTTAACTCCCTGACCTCTGCGGTCTCCTGGTTGAGGGTTGCTGTGATAGATAGGCTTGCTCATAGATAGAAATAATATCCTATGTAGCACAACAACAAAAAACTATATTTTAACCAGTGTTTAATAGCTAGTAATAGATAGAAGTCAGTATATTTTAACAAAGCCTTAAGGCATCATCCTGCGAGGGGGGGGTTGTATGCTTGGCCTCCAGTGAACTCTATTTAATTCTTTACGGCCTGTATTGTCATACCTTGTGCCTTCTAGACAATTTTAAACAATACCCCACCAGGTGAAACTACCTGGTTGGGGAGAAGAAAAGCTGAGCAAACTGTTGTTTTCCTCTGCAGTAAGAGTCACAAAGCAAAGAAAGGGGAAACATAGAATTTAAAAAAGGAGGAAAAAAAACAGGTGAAACAGTGCAAGGAAGTCAATGAATAACAATGTTTGGGGCCAAAAATAAATTACATGACGCTCAGTGTTGCAGAACAATCAAAGCTTAGGCGAGTTCTGAACATGCATGCACTTGAACTTGGCTAAATGTTGCTCTTGAACTACTGATAGGCACTGGGAAAAACAAGCCATTAAAGCCAGTTCAGGTAAACAAAATAGGACTCCATCGGGAACAAGCAACATTGAAAGAGCTGGGGGGTGGGGGAGAGTCTTTGAAGTGGCTCAGAGTATTCCCCTGACACTTCTGAGATATTTATTTGAATAATGTGCAGATTCACACCCGAATGAGCAGAGATCTGTACAGTGGGTGGGAAGATGACAAGGTTTAATTTTCAACTCTACTGAGGAGTAGTGAGAGCGAAGTAGGAAGAGAGAGGAAAGAGCAGCAGGGGAATTAAAAAGAGAGACGGAGGGGGAGCGAAATACAGAGCTAGATATGAGATGAGGAAGGTTGATGGAGGTATATCAGATTCCCTAAAAACATTTTGACATTTTAAACCTAAGGCAGTTTGCAGGCAGTAAATAAAGGGAAGGGAATCAATAGCAGTCAGTGATAAGGGGATAAAGCAGCTAAATATGAAATACTGCCTAACAAAATGGTATGGATTTCCAATGGGGCCATGTGACACAAGCTGCTTTGAAATGCAAATAGTAACTTATGCACATTGTCCTTCTCAGGCCTTGCAACCTATTGATCGGCTAAAACAAATTCTATTGATCATTGAATATTTAATGGCGATAATTAAATCTCTCATGGAGGTACTTACACCCCATTTCCAGTTTTCATCTTCTTACTCAGGAGACCTGCCTTTAACTCACTAACGCTTTCAGGCTCTGTAAAGAACCACATGCAGCTAATTGCAATAAAACTGGGTATTAAGTTCATGTTGAGAATATTGTGTAGGTTGTTTCCTGTCAATCTGCATGTCCCAATAGGAGGAGAGCATGTCTCCTAAAAGTTTAAGGTGAAAATCACCTTGTAAAATTCTAAAGGATCTGGATAAGCAAATGTAGAACAATGTTTTTCTTGGTTGCAACATTTCAGTCAGTTAATGTACTAAGAATTATACACAATATGTAGTAAATTTAGGCAACAAAAGATAGAAAAACATATGCCTCCACAAAGATACAGAATAAAGGGTTTAGAAAGTGTTTGCAGAATGGAGTGCTTCGACTTTTTGGGGCAGGTGGAGTAGATTTGGTGTCATTCTAGTTTCACTGAGTTTGATACACTGTGGTGTCCTTCGCTGCCTTTATGAATCTTCTTATATAGAGATTTTTTTTTCATGCCACTATGATGTGAATAACTAGAGTTTATACCGTAGTTAGACAAATCTGTGTCTGTTCTGAATTTGAATTTTGATGTATATTGTTATGGTGTGGTGTTTCTTTCTTTTCAATTACTTGAGTCAGCGTTTGTTTAGTAGATAAAAATGCCATCTGAATGCTGCTTCAGAGTATTCAACTACTCTTTTGGAGAAAAAAGTTTACATAATGTCACAGCTTTTTTTTAATTTGCCTGCATGGCTATAAAGTATCGTCCGAAATTTATCAGAAATATTTCTTCTTAATCTTTCGTGTTGTAAGTTTTATTGATCTTTGTCCAAATATTTCCAAAAATAGGACAGATTTTAAATGTGGCCTCAAACTTTAGACACCTCTGCATTTTTGTATGTTACTATTTCTTACAGTTCTGTTTTATCTTGTTTATTTAACTCCTTCAGTAAATACTAGTTCTACTGTAGAAAAAGAGCTTATATGTAATTTGGCCAAAGTCCTGCTCGGATTTTCTTGCGGTATACCTAACTTCCACTATTTATTCAGTGCAAGTATGCCTTCTGTACGTCTGAAAACAGACGTTCTTCTGGTATGCATTGTGTTTTTCCAATAATAACAGAAAATGATACAAAACTATCTCTAAAACCACAATACATAATTTTGTTTTAATGTCTCTCGGCTGTTGAATAAACAAAGCGCAATGTAAAAAAATCCTGCTTTATAAAAATTCACTCTATTATGTACTTGTTATACAAGAATGAAATTCAGGTATCAGTGGTAAAGGAGTATGTTAACCATCTGTGGCTTTTATATTACAAAGCACAAAGTTTAAAACCCATGATGGCAAGTTGTTGCTCAAGCTCTCAGGCGCGTTGTCTCTCTGCTTTTCAGGAGCCACAAACTGTCCTCATACTGTTAGGGCACAAAGAAAATGTGAGAGAAAAAAAGTCTCCTTAATTGAGTGACATAATTTATTACATTAAAAGACTGGCAAACAGGAAAAGGTTGCTGTCAGGATAACATTAGAGGGCAGCTCTCATTGCATGGGCCAGTGTTAAACAAAGTGCCAATCAATAGCCCTTTTATTAGTGACCACAATCAATGTACCACTGACTCGGTGAGCCAATTAACGTTATCGAGCACAGACGAAAGAGAAGAAGTGAAGGGGACGAGGGCAAAGTATTGAGATAGCAAAGAAAATACAGGGGACGATAGGAGAGGACGAGCTGCAGTGCTTTCCTCAGGTCTTGTTTTCCTTCTCATCTGTAGGGGGGAGGAGGGGGAGGTTGGCTGTGGAGTGAGAAGACCAGATTCCCACCAAGTGAGAGGCCCCCGGGGATCTGCAGCTGAAGACACCCTGACAGAAAGCAGAGGCCCACATATCTCCCAGGAGGAAGTGAGTATGTGTGTGTGTCTGTGTAGTAGTGGCAAGGAGTGGAGTTCAGGGGAAGCTGCTGCCCACCCTATACACCCACACTCTCGTGCACATCATTTAATAGCACGGGGGGGTGAGCTGTACTGGGAAAGCAGCACTACTTGTCTTCTCACCGTTGGTTCTGAATAGTAATGAGGTCACAGCACTCTAAGGTCTCTGTGCATGCTCAGCTCCAACTTTCACTCCAAGTGGGTGACCAGTGTGCATGTGTGGGCCTGTATGTGTGTGACCGGCTTGGGGATGTACATTACATAATTTCCTAAGGTCTCCGTATGACACAAAAACTGCATGCGACATTAACAGTCAGGGATGCTGAATTTGTCTAAACAGCCCACTCTTTACGGGGAACACTTTGGAACACGTTTACTCATGTAACAATATTTTTTTGTTTTTCTGATTACTTATGGATTCAGTCATCTTTACTCTATGTTATTCTCATAATTTGTGCAACAATAAGTTCACACCCTCACAATAGCGCTGCTGATATTCAAGTACCCCCTGTATTTTCATTTGGTGTCCTGTTCCCAAAGAGAAAGGGGTCAGGAGGACATCTGCTTCATGTCAGCTGGCAGTATAGTACTTGTCTCAGGGGTTATCGGGCTCCCTCTATCAGGCTGTGGTTGGAACACGGACCTCTCCTTCCTGAAGGAAACCCTCCGAACCAGCGTGTCGACAGCTTGAGAAGGTGCGACGGAGAAAGAAAAGAGGAAAGGCTGGATGGGGCTGGAAGGAAGACGACAGAGGCAAGGATGGGTAGGAGAGAAATACAGCAAATTACTGTGTTTTTTTTTAGATACGGTAGGACCAACACCCTGTATTGTATTGTAGTTTACCCTACTAAATTTTTCCATGTTACTTTGCTGATATTATTAAAAGGAAAGCCCAACAGAATATTTAAAATTATATTTTAGATGCTGAAGAAAACTCTCCATTTTAATTGTTGGTTTCAATGTATAAATAGAAAATGTGCACAATTAGTGATATTATTTATCACCATATCTATTTATTTTTATATAATTATCTGATGAGCATTTGTGGAAGTCCCTCCATAATGATAAAAGTTCCACGTGTTGTCTATTTATCTGTAAGTCTGATCTAGTCAACT